AATTAATGAGTCAGTTCTATACAAGTAAAACAAAAACAATATGTTTTTTCTATGTAGGATTCATTAATTTTTTTCTATTGTTTGTCAGATATTTTTCTTGCTCTTTTTCTCCGTTTTTATGCCAGATGATTTTTCTTGTTCAATAAAAATGATTCAAGAACTTATTGTACATGTAGATTTATTTGCCGTTAACGAGTGGTGCGAAATTTTCTGGACAGCATTGTTGACCTATTTCAAAGTATTCCAGACGAGTTAAAAGCTATGGGTTAGAATCAGAATTTGATGCTCTTTTTTAATATGAGCTCAGAACTTATTTGTCAGATTGTGTTTGAGAGTAGTAAGAGAATCTTTGAACGGCGTTAAAAAATTGTTTGTACGGAAAAATTTGCCGTGCATTTTCGTATTTTCACTATTGGGATTCGAAACCAAAAGTTGGGACCTTAATTAATATACCAGCAGTTTGTAGCAGAAGTTACTATTTCAGTTCTATTTTTTGTCTTTCGGCAAGGAGACTCAATTTTCACTTTTCCAACACTCTCATTTTTGAAAAATCGACTTTTTCACCAGAAGTATTTCAAGAAGAAATGATCACCTGGCAAAATGCATATAGCTTCACTTGAGTGAAAGCTACAGCTTATTTCAATATTGCATTTTGTAAAGAAGTACTCGCTCTACAAAACCACCGAGTTCGATAACTTTTAGCATCCTTGGAAAGAGACTTACAGAGATTAGCAAAACCTATTGTTCGTCGTCCAAGCTAATCCTTTTGGCATTAACAAAAATTCCATTACTACTCTCAAACAAAAAGAGACACAGAATTTCTAGATATATTCAGAAAGAAGGGTGTGGATGTAGGTATAATTTTGGGTACGATTGAGTGAAAGCAAGAGTGCAGTGATGGATGAAATAAAATATTCACATCCACCCTTATCAAATTTAACAGTTTATGTAACACTATATGGTTATCGAAAAATAGTTACAAATTGGTTAAAAGTATTTTTAGCAATTGAAAGATTTATTGCTGTAAAATATTGGATTAAAAATCGTTATAATATTAATTCAAATCATGCAAAACGACTTAATCGTTTACGACAAAGAAAACTTTTATTAATAATTCGTATTTTACTTCTATGTAGTTTAATAAGTTCAACATTCAAATATGATTCCATATCGTTTTATATCAACACGTATTGATCCATTACGTTTACTTATTGTTAATAAACCTAATCCAAAATTTACTATAATTAGTTATATTATACTTGATGATCGTTTACCAATTATAATATTAATTATATGTAATACATGTCTTCTATATCGACTAAGACGTTTACCAACAATAACATGTAAAAAATTAGCTGATTCAATATATATTCTATTTTTTCTAACAATATTTTCTAGAATATATCACTGATACAATTATTTCAGTTGTATTTCATCCATTTCAAGGTATGTTTATATAACATGTTTTTTAAGTTGTCGTGCATTACATAAAGATTTAATACGAAATTTTCAAATTATATTTCAACGAAATAATAATGTATTAAAAACTGTATCTCAAGAACGCTCGTAATCTTTAAAAAAATAAAACTTTTGTTATCTTTTGTCATAACATAAATATCAATTTCCTATTAAAGAAAGAAAAGGTCGTATATTGTTATCTATATTATATATCAAACGTGTTGCTCTTTAAAAAAAAAGGATGAATATATATAACGATAATGAAGATTTGTTTTGTTCTCACAGAAATATGAATCAAACTAAGATAGTTTATATTGGATCAGGTCTTGCTATTGCAATTGTTTTATTTATTGGTGGAATTCTTATCGGTCGTTTTGCTATTCCAAGACCATCAAATACGATTGATATATCAACAGAAACTAAACATTCTGAAGAAGAATATATAAACATATGGAATAATTTCAAACAACAATTTCTTGATTCTATTAGTGCACAAGAAATTGAAAATAATCTTCGGTTAGTAACTATCATTTATTGATATTAAAACAGAGTTATGTAAATTACTATAGAGATTATGCTCAAAAAACTCATTTAGCTGGAACAGATGATGATCGTCTTGAAGCGGAAATCATTGCGAGTAAATGGCGTGGACATGAATTAGATGTAACTATTCATCCATATGATGTATTACTTTCATATCCAGATCCAATTCAACCAAATATGTAAATATTTCTTTTTGAATTGAAATTTTATATATGATTTTTCTATTTGAAGTGTATCAATTTTTGATCCAAATAATAATTTAATATTTCAATCAAATGGAAGTGAATCTATATTTAATGAAGATGATAAAACATTACCATTTCATAAAATCGTTCGACCATTCCTTGCTTATACAACGAATGGAACTGTACGAAGTCAAAAATTATTTTATGTTAATTATTGTACAATGGATGATTTTCGTTTTCTTGAAACTGTATTGAATAAAGATGATTTAAATAATAGTATTATTATTTGTCGATATGGAAAAATTTTTCGTGGAAATAAAGTAAATATGATCAATAATAAAAGTTGATTTTTTTATTCCTAAACTTTAATTAGATTAATATTGCGGAAAAATATGGTATTATTGGAGTTATTTTATATAGTGATCCAATTGATGTTGTACCAAGTTCAAATATATCTAATTTAACTTATCCAAATTCTATCTATATGCCTGAAATGGGACAACAACGTGGATCAGCATTGACTCTATCTGGAGATCCATTAACAGTACATTATCCTTCTAAAGGTAATTATCTAAATTTAAGATTAATATTAATATAATATTCATTTTAGATTATATGTTCAGAACACCAATAGATAATAATCCTAATTTACCAAAGATTGTTGCTCAACAAATAGGTTATAAAGAAGCGAGAGAAATATTAATGTAGGCTATATTAAATGACAATTGTCAATTAAGTTTTATTCTTTTAGACGAATGACTGGAATATCTGTTATATCGAATTGGACTGGTGGTTTTCATCAAGTGAGATATGTTTATGGTGGTTTTCTATCAGATAATTTGTAAATACAATTGATGATTTTTAAAATTAAATTAATTTTAAGTTATAATAATAGATCTATACAAATATCATCATATAATACATTACAAATACGACGTATACATAATGTAATTGGAACTATTACTGGTCATATTGAACCGGGTATGTGTTAAGAATTTAAAAATTATTTTAAGTTAAAGATCGATTTATTTTAGATCGTTATGTACTTATTGGAGCTCATTTTGATGCTTGGAATTTTGGTGCTCTTGATAATGGATCGGGTACAGCTGTTAATCATGAATTAACACGTGTATTTGGATCATTAATAAAATCGAGCATGTTATTTCAAAGTATTAAGAATATTTATTATTTCTTCATATTTAGACTGGAAACCAAGACGAAGTTTAATGTTTTGTGCTTGGGCGGCTGAAGTAAAATAATTGAATGAACAAAAAAAAGAAATTATCTGTTTTTTAGGAGTATGGTATTGTTGGATCGGTTGAATTTGTTGAAGTAAAGAAAATTAATATATTATTATTCTTAAATTAAATTTTTTTCTATTTAACAAGGAATATGCTAAAATCTTAGGTTCACGTGTTGTTTCATATCTTAACATGGATGTTATTGTCGAAGGTAAATTACTGATATTTATTGATATTTATTCTAATTTAATACAGGTACTGAATTAATGTTTATGGAAATGTCTCCATTACTTTATGATTTTTCTATTGAAATATCTAAACAAGTATGAATAATCATTTTTATTTTTGAAAAATAAAATCTGCTATTAATCGAAGGTCAAAGCACCTTATACCACTGAAACAATTTATGAACAATGGATACGTCATAATAATGGTGAGAAAGATGTTGGAAAAACGTTTTTGTAAGTTATATTAAAAGAGAAATTAGAAATTTTATTGATGTGTTTATAGTACAATGGGGCTTAGTGCTAATTCGGATTATGCTGGTTTTAATCAAATTGTTGCAAGTTCAAATCTTGCTATGATTTATAAAAATCAAGTTAGTATTTATTATAAAACGAGATATTATTAAAAGATTTTTTTATTAGACTATTATTAAAAATATTGGTACTTATCCATTATATCATACTCAATATGAAACATTTCGATTAGTTAAAGAATTCATTGATCCTGAATTTCAAGTGAGTTAAACTTTAATAAAAATAGAATATGCTTTGTTTTTTTGTGTATAGACTCATCAAGCGATTGCACGAGTTATTGGTTTAGCAGCATTCACTCTAACTGATATTGATTTACTTCCATTCAATCCTGAAAGATACCATCAAGCACTTGTTGATTTATTAACTTTAACAAAATCTGTTGCACCTCAATCAATTAATTTTAGTAAGTATATACAAATTTTCTACTATATTCATAATCTTTGATAAATATTAGCATCACTACAAATTGCAATCGATCAATTTAAAAATGCTGCTACGCAATTCAATTATCGAGTTCAAACTACACTTGATAAATCAAAGTTAGTTGATTATATTAGAATCATCTCTGAGATTTAAAATACTTATTTTAGTCCAATACAACTTCGAATAGTTAATGATCAATTAATGCAAGTTGAACGAGCATTTCAAAATCCATTAGGTAATAGTATTGAACAATCTACTCTCAAGTAAGTTATTCATTAATACTTCTTAAAATCTTCTATTAATATTATTTCATATATAGGCATACAATTTATGCACCAAGTCGAACTAATCGTTATAATGCTCGTGGTTTTCCAACTATAACTGATGCTATTGAAGATCGAAATATAACTAATATTCAACAACAAATATCTATTGTTACATATTTTATTCATTCTGCAATTACTGTCCTTCAATCTCCGAATAAAATTCAATCAATATAATAAACATTTTCTCTTATTTATACATTTTTTTTATTCAATTTCTTCGTACAAATAATAATAATCAAACATACAATATATGACTTTTAAAAGTTATAAAATAGATCAAATAATTTAAATTGTTTGTATTTCGGTTACTGATTGATGTTGTGTTTCTGAAAATGGTCGTCGTAATGTTATTCGATTCGAAGGTTTCAATGAACCAATTGTTATTACCATACTCACTGGTGTATCTTGTCGATTTGTTTTGACGAAATACTCCTGATATTTGATATTTTATTTGATTAAGATAAAATTGATATTGATTTAAACTAAGTTCTTTAGATGTTTGATAATTTAAACGAATAAATTGAAGAAATTTGTTAAATAAACCGCGATATAATGCGACAACACGACGATTACATACATAAACAACAGAAATAAATAAGCTCGGTGTTGCATTAAGATGAATTAATAAATATTTAAATATTGTAACAAGGACATGTTGAAAAGCTGTTGGACTATCAGGTAAAGCAAATAAAATAAAACCAATTGTCCAACCAAAACCAGCTAATACAGCCATACGCATATAGATTTTAACATCATATTCACCAGATACAACCTGTTTTTTTCGTTGAAGTTTGAGGGTGTGGGTGTGGGTATAGTAAAAGTGATACCTACACGCATATCCACCCACACATCCACACCATTGTTGAGTCCGAAATGATTTTGACAAAAACTTAAATTTATCAGAAATCGTAAAAATTTAAAATGTTTATAAATCGGGTCAATATTTATAAACTGGGTCGAAGTTAGTAATTTGACAATTCTCGAAATTGAAAGCTGTCTGAATGTCTACTATAAATTCATGGCAATAGTGCTTTTAATTTTGGTAAAATTATATTCCACCACGAGGATGTTATATACTCATATTGACACTTAAAATGATAAAGATAATTTAATCAATTTTGGCTTATCAATCAAATAAAAATTCATGAATTGGTCAGATGCTTATACAATATACGCGCATTTATTTATCCGATATTCGTTAATAAATAAGCTAGATTTATAAATCGTTCAAGCGTTTATAAATCAAAAACAGATTTATAAATAGGCCCGATTTGTAAATACCAAAACATTTATAAATATTTTAGATTTTCGGTTTAAAAATTTATGACTTATAAATCGCCTACTTTCGGACTCAACAGTGACCCACACCCACCCAAGATTTTATATATGTCTATTGGTGTAGTCTCCAACATCTTGAAATGCAAGTGTAAATATACTAATGATTACGAAACAAACAAAAAGGTCAAAACATAATATAAAAATGATGTAAATCAAGAAATAAACGATAGTGTACACGAGTATTTTGTTTCTCAAAGAGGAAAAAGTACTCCAATATCTAGTCTTGTATTCCAGAAATATACTTAAGAAATTGATAAACAACTCAATGATTCAGACAACTTCAAAGCAAGCAATGGTTGGCTGGATAAATTTCGAGCACGTTATAATGCAGTATTATAGAACATTACAATCCTGCACATATATTCATTTGTGATGAAACCGGTCTATTCTACAAAGCTATGGTTGATAAATCATTAACTATGAACAAAAATGATTGCAAAGAAGGTAAAAAATCGAAGGACCGAATGACTGTAATATTGTGTACAAATTGGAGAGGTGTTGAAAGATTAAAACCCGTTGTCACTGGTAAGTCAGTCTTCATCAACTCTTATTCTACAGTAGTTCTTATCTTATTCTAGATTTAGGAAAATCTGCGAGACTCCGATGTTTTAAAAACCTTGACATGCAGAAATTGCTAGTTTTATGGCACAGCAATCGCAGATCATAGATGACCTCGAAAGTGTTTACTAATTGATTGCAAGATCTTGATTTCATGATGCGAAAAGAAACCGACATATTCTTCTTTTTTTAGAGAATGCACCAGTTCATCCTCCGAATATAGATTTGGAAAATATTAAATGTAAATATGAAAACACTGTTCATCGACAGGTTACGAAACGTTTATACAGTTGCTTGGTCAGCATATTCATTTATTGCAAATTATAAATGATTTTTCATTATACGAGTTATTATTACGTAATGTAATTGTTCTTATAAGTTATCTTCTCTTTTATTTACATGGAAACTTCCTCTCGAATCAATGAAATAACGACAATTAGTCGACTTATTTGGCAATACATCTGGGTATATATAATACCAACACTAAGATTCTTTCCGCAGAATTTAAGCGTTTGGTTTAAACTATCATTTTTTTTCTAGATTTTTGTTTTTGCATTAAGCATAACAAAAATCATTCATTACACAAGTACAAAAACAATTGATATCATAATAGTAATTTATTTATTTTTTTACATAGTACATTTGATGATGACAATAATGAAAAAATGCATATATTTATTAAAACATACAGATATTTCAATACAATTTAAAAGATTGTATACATGTAAAGTAAGCATACTCGTTTATTTAAAATCATGACTAACTTTTTAATATAGGAATTAATAGTTCGCATTATAATACTAATCATCAATACATCAATTGCGATACGATGTTTAAAAAAAACAAGTTTTATGGTGGAATTAGTAAGTCAAGAAAACATTTCCGCATAATTTTTATTGAATTTTTTAGGTATTATCAACAGGATTATGTGTGATATCGATCGTTGACATGTGCTGTTACACATTTACTCGCGTCAATATTAACAGTTCAACAACACGTAAACCAACACCTGATATTGATGCTTCCGCTTTGTAAAAGTAAAATAGAATCAATATGTTCTATTATATTTGACTCATTTTTTTTCTCTTGTTTGTCAGATACCCAAGTCAAAAGTAACGGCAACATAAATGACCGTAAACAATGTAAAAACGGTATGCAACGACAAAGAACGGTGCTTTCTCGTTGCGGTAATTCGGCATTCCGAAAAACGGTAAAAATGGTGTGAAAAAACTGTGGTCGTCTTCTAGCAATAGAAACGGCTATTTTTCCGAGATGACGCATTAAGACAAATATAAAAAGATTGTTCATCGACAGTTCAAAAAACGTTTATACAGTTGCTCAGTAAGCATGCTCATTTATTTTAAATCAATAGCTAACTTTTTATTATAGGAGTTACTGTGTCGGGTAATAATCAGGCTGATAAACACGGAAATATCGATACAATGTCTGAAAAACAATATTTATATTGAATCAGTAAGTGAAGAAAAAATTTCCACATAATTTTTATTAAATTTCTTAGAGACTTTCATTGGCTATCTTTGGAGTATCCATTTTAGATATGTGTTGTTACAAATTTAGTAGAGTACAGTTAAATAATTTAATTGAAAATGAAACAACAACACAAAATAATAAATCAGTTCTATAAAAGTAAAACAAAAACAATATGTTTCATTATGTTTGATTCTTTTATTTTTTTTCCTCTAGTTTGTCAGATACTTAGATCAAAATCAACGGCAACGTAAACGATGTAAAAACGGTATAAAACGACAGAAAACCGGTGCTATCTCGTCGCCGTAATCCGGCATCCCAAAAAACGGTGACCATCTTCTAGCGAGAGAAACGGCTACTTTTCCGGGATGACGGATTACGGCAAAATACGATCAGAATTAATGAATTAATACGCTGTTTTATAATCGTCTCAGACCGTTTAAGACGCTTTTTCCGATAGTCGGAATGATCGTCTTTGGTAGTTTTCTTCTGGTGTTTCTTTTCGTTTTTACGTCAGATGATTTTCTTCTGTAGTTTTTTTCTTCGTCAGGTGATTCTATTTGGTCATTTTTTTACTTGTTCATCAGATACTTCTGCTCTATTTTTTTTCAGGTCTTTTTTGATTTCATATATATGGTGATTATTTTGATTTTTTTTAGATATAAAAAAAAGAAAACCATCATCGACGCATATTGATCATATTAAAATCTATGATTAAAAATTATTTTCATCGAAATTATCGAGATCGATTTTGTTATCTTTTTGAGAAATAAAAATAAGTGAGATATCTTTGATAAGTATTTTGTAACAAATATAAACGAATATTACATAACATTTTAAAGGACGGAGGCCAATAAGAACATAAATCGGCCCACTGACTTTTT